TAGAGCAGTCGCCCGGCAAGCGAAAGACCCGGGTTTTCGAGTCCCGACCTAGCAGGACCGCGCTCTCGATATTTTTCTCTTTCTGGAACGAAAAAGATACGCAGATCTCGAACGCACGGCGTCCCGCCGCCACCTAGTATGCTCTCCTCCTTCTCGATATGACTCATTTAATTCCTTCGTTTAATTTAGGATATATAAAAAAGCTACCAAGAAACTATAAAAGTAATTTACGTACGTCGCGACCCTTAGTCTTTTTTTCGCTTCCGCCGCGCGTTTATCCTTCTTCATTCGGATCGACCATTTTATATTGACCTTTCACACCGGCAGGCCTGCTGGCGCGCTTCTGCGTGAAATATTTTTTTGAGACGACGTACGTAAATTAATTGTCAGTGAAATTAAATTAGCCAATTAAAATTTAATTTTTTTTATTCTTCTATATACAAGAATATGAAAACTCTCTCTCATTGAAATATCAATGAAAATTATTGAAATATATGGGAATCTGATTTCTTCACTATGTTTCAACATAAATTCATACGATTGTTAATTTGCATCTAATATTGCATTTAGAGCAATATTGCATCTAGAGCAATCGTTAATTAGCATATGTAATATTTGCATGTAGATTAAAAGAAATGAAAGAAGGATGTGTAAAAAGAGCCATTTTTAGTCCAGTTCCGGAACTTTTCTTAACCATTGGAAACTGTTTTTGGGAAACTATTTTTTAGAAACTGGAAAAAATAATTATTTATCCACCAGGTCTGGGGAAAGTTATAAAAATGGCGATTTATTATTAACTGTTGACATAGTCATATGAAATAATATTTTCGAAGCTTTGTCTTCTCAATATATTTATGTAAAATACTATCAATTGAATATTTGTGATGGAAAGTGTGCAGAAAATGTAGAGGGAGAGGAAGAAGTTTGTTATTTTATTAATATATTATATAAGATTTAGAAAAAGTGTCGAAGTTTCATGATATTTCGAAGAATACACGTTTTCGAAAAAAAAGGTTCATACAAAAATTATAGGATTTTAACTGGCGCTTTACGTAGTTGTATTAATATTACCTTGAATAATATTGTCAAAGTCATGTGAAAGTCACTTTTCACTAAAGGGAAACCTGAGTTTTCATTATATATTCCTATAGCCTTCCTTGAGACTCTTCCACAGCACTTCTTCTTTTTCACGTATCATTGCTGGACGCCAGCAATCACAATGGCTCTATTATCCTCCGCCACGCGGGAGAATTCCTCTATTTTTCAGATTTAAAAAGAATCCCATAAATTCACGGACTATCGTCTAATTAGTTTTATAAGTCACATGCTAAAAACATATGCATATTCTTCGTATTATTCTGGATATCTGTATACGAGCAAAATGTGAGATGGATTTGGGTGACTCACAGTTCAGCTTCAGGAGCGTTTTCGGCATGCTCATCGGCTTTAGATCACGTTTCGGCACGTTCTCTTAGAAAAGTGTCGCAACCATCGGCAGAATGTATTTCTATGCTTTGCGGACTGCGAGGTGACATTTAATCGCGTGCGCCATACTAGACTCATTGAACTTTTACTTGAAGCAGAAGTAGATGAAAAGAATGTCCGAATAATAAAAAACTTATAACAGAAAGTCGACATACTAATACAACTACGTAAAGCGCCAGTTAAAATCCTATAATTTTTATATGAACTTTTTTTCGAAAATGCGTATTCTTCGAAATATCATGAAACTTCAACACTTTTTCTAAATCTTATATAATATATTAATAAAATAACAAACTTCTTCCTCTCCTTCTACATTTTATGCACACTTTCTATCATATAATTGATAGTATTTTACATAAACATATTGAGAAGACAAAGCTTCGAAAATATAATTTCATATGACTATATCAACAGTTAATAATAAATCGCCATTTTTATAACTTTCCCCAGACCTAGTGGATAAATAATTATTTTTTCTAAAACATCCCAAAAACAGTTTCCAATGGTTAAAAAAAATTCCGGAACTGGACTAAAAATGGCCCTTTTTACACATCCTCCTTTCATATTATTTATAAAGATAGTCTTTTTAATTAGATGTATGGGTGTCTTTAAAAAAATAATTACAAATTTAAAGAAGTACCACATAATTATTTTAGTGAAAATATCCATATTTATTGTAATAGAAGTACATTACACATATAAACATAAATATATATGTATATATATAAATTTTAACCTTTAATCTCTCAAATATTTATATGGAACAGTGCTAACATAATAATGATAAACA